ATGATTCTTGGTCTTAGAGGAATGTCTTATGAGGAGAGGTTAGCTGAGCTGAATCTGTTTAGCCTTGAGCAAAGGAGACAAATGGGGGACATGATCCAGGTCTATAAGATTCTAACGGGTCTGGATGCTGTTCAGCCAAATGGCTATTTCAATATTAGTTTAGATACTAGAACTCGTGACCATAAGTGGAAATTAGAGGGAGAACATTTTAAAACAAATTTGAGGAAGCACTTCTTTAAACAGCGTGTAGTTAGAGTATGGAATAGTCTTCCTGCTAGTGTAGCGAAAGCTAAAACCCTAGGTTCCTTTAAATCAGAGCTAGATAAGATTTTAACAACTCTGAGCTATTAGTTAAGTTCTCCCCAAACGAGCTTTATGGGCCGAATGGCCCCCTCTCGTTTGTAAATTTCTTATGTTCTTATGACTCAATTTAACCTTTTAGGATACATGTTACAGTAAATTGATACAAATGAAGAAAAACTTTAAAGTTATTGCACGGTGTGATACATAGTGTGAACATATTTCTGCTTTGATGTGACTCCTAAATAGTACTAATTTAAACACTAAAAAAAATTAACATGTACAACGGTGTGGTATCAATAAAGTCACATAACTGATAATTAATCTGACACATTTAAATGAGGCCTTTTGAATGCCAGCAAAATTATATAATTTGAGTCAGGCCTTTATTATGTGAAATGGTTTATCTTTTCCTTTTAAATATTTTCTTTGGACTGAAACGGGCATCTGAACTGAGTGACTGCATCCTCCCTGTGGGGCATCTGCATTCAAACATTATTTTGCAGAATACCCGATGGATTATGACGCTGTTACCAGCCAGCTTAACATCTTATTTATATACAGAGAGCGATGTGATTGTATTTGCACTATGGGGATTCTCACGGTTCCTTTAATGCTCTAAATTTCCCCAGCTACAGTCCTTGTCAGGAGAAGAACTGACACCATTTATCAAGCCCTTTTGAGATAAACATGTGAACGTGGAGTCGTCTGACAAAAAAAGATGCTTGTGAAAGAAACCCAACTTCTGATGTGAACTTGCGTTTTAAGTACGTAAATATCAGGGCTGCAGAACTGAAGCCACCTATTTGCATTGCACTAGATGCCATTTCTCAATCAGTTCGAGTTGAACACAAGTCCGGTCAAGAGTCCACATATGAACACAATCAGGTGAATTTTTTTCTCAATCTTGACTTGTCAGCAATTTTCCGGTTTGCAAAACATCCAGCAAAAAGGAGCACACTGTAAATGTCGCAAAGCATCGATAACTGAGGTGGCAGGCAGGACTAATACTCTGTCGACATTTGGAAAAGAAATATCATATATCATAGGTTCGTGGTCAAGCCAAGTGTCCAGGAAAAATATGTTTTACTGAGTCATTTAGAGATAGCTATCCAGCTAGCTAGCCAATGTCTTAAAATAATAATTATTATTATACTTTATTAATCCCTGTGTCTGAAATTCTCATTCTTACGCATCAGAAACCTTGGTCTCCTGAGTGACAGAGTCAGTCGGTGTTCAGCTTCCATGGAATAGTTATGTTTAAAGGCTTTAAGGGAAACTGGAGACAATTGATGAACAGCGTCGGTTTATGCTTGGATGGTATCTACTGTTAACACATTTTAATGCAAAGAAAATAGCACCTTTAAATGTGACAGGGATTGACTGTGTATGTGTGAAATTCACGTCTTTGATTTGATGTTTTTTTTAGTGCGCTAAAAGCTCAACAGTTGAACGTGTTCAACAATGGCTCTCAGCTGTTCCCTGAGGGGTGTGATGGATGGGAGCAGAATCAAACCAGCAATTTTCCAGATACTGGAGTTTTAACTTGTTTAGTAACACACCACATCTGACTAAACACATAAAATTTTAGGTAGCTACATATTGCTATCTATGTACTTAAATTATTGGGGTATGGTTCCAAATTAATGATGTTATGCGTTGATGGTAGCTACTAGCTAGGCAGTTATGAAAATGATGTGACTCCATCATAACGAGACTCATGCAAGCCTGCATACTTGTATTTCTGAAAAGCAATATCTCGTTCTTGTAGTATAGAGAGTCCCAATCATAAGATATACCATGCATAGTCTTACATAGTTGTGTGTGTGCTGTATCTGTTGCAACTGTAGCAGAATGGATGTTTTAGCTTGTTGGTATTGTTTTATGCATAATCTTTGGTTCCGCAATGAATTTTAATTCTGCGTAGCAGGATACAGTCATGTTTCAGTGAAATTAATAATCACAACGTGATGCAGCAGATGTGTGTGCAGAGGTGAACGCATATATTTGTTTGTTTGTTTGTTTATTGTTTATTTCAAACATATTCACATTCACTGTATTTACATAACATATTTAAAGTCTTTTGTGTGTGAAAAGGAGTAGGCTGAAGTATAAACTTATTTGGCCCTACACCCATCCAATTATTCACAGCTCACTTTACACACTTTTTGTCAAATAATATATATATATCTACAAGTGAACTTTTCTGGTCTTGGACTTGAACTTGAGCTCAGATTTGTGCTACCCTGCAATAAAAAGCTATGCAGCAGTTTGATGTATTGCCTATGGATATAACGTGACACTTAGCCTTTAAACTGCAAATAATCTGACTTTGAGCAATACGGCATCTTTGAAGTCACAAAATTTGAAACAGAACGACTCTCAGGGATCATAGAGATATTAGTTATGTGTCAAACATGGGCGTCGCCGCCATTAAATCTGANCCCCCCCACACACACACACACACACACACATTTAATATAAAATATTAGTTTTATGCCAAAGGTATGCTCACTCACGTCAGTCCGAGTGCACCAAATCAGTGCTCTGAATGCTAAATCATTCATTAATAATGTGTTCAGTTGCATTATAAAATGTCAATAATGACAATAATTGGACATCTAAAAAATAAATTTAGAAGTTGTTTGTTTGTAGACTTAAAACTTGTCTTCTAAGAAAGGTATAAGTTATTTAATGGGACTGACAAAGCAATCATAATGGCTTATATGTTGTACTGTGATAACATTACCAACAAATAATTTTTATTATAGAATAAACTGTGAATAGGAATTCTTAAAAACAATACAGCCTTATCCCAAATATATGATTGATAATGTACAGTACAAATTATCAGGAAACCATGGTTAAGGAAGTAATCTAGTAAAAGTATAGGGTACTAGATCTAAGGTGAAGTCATGCATGACAGCAGACTGAAATAGAACTTACATTCTAGCACTCTGTGAAATAAAACCATGTTTTCCTGTTTTACACAGCTAGATAACTATGTAACAGTATTGTGATGTGACCCTACAGACACTAGACTTATAAAACCCAGAGGACAATTCTAATCTAATCTGGGACAAATATTAGGAAAATAAACTAAACACTCCCTGAAATATGCCCTATGTTGTACAACAACAACAACACATATGACTCACTGATAATTTTATTTTACCATGCACATATATACATATTTGCACATTAACATAGTAAAATGATTTGGGAATACATTTTAAACAAATGTGACGATTAGATGTAAAAAAACATCACAAAAATACAGGTTCCTGACATCTTACGAATTTTAATTCCACCATACAGCCATGAACTTAGTATTCCTTAAGTACGCAGCTAAATAGTTCTCTTGAAACATATGTTTTTTATAACAACTACATTATGTATTTTATGTAATTATGGGAGAATTGTGGCTCACACACCTGCCAGGAATTTCATTACAGAACTAAATAAAATAAACATACACAAATAAAGTGCTCCCCCTGGTGGTGCAGTTCCAGTCGATTATATGTGTTCTTGGTGTTAACTTGATGAGCTTTATAGAAAATCAATTTAGTACAGATGGTATCAAAATAAATCCTGAGCTAAACTGGATGCAGCAATGAGGAAATGAGGGCCCAGCAGAGTGAATGTTCATACTGTGCATGAAGTGTACAGGCTGTGGAAATTCAGATGCAAACTCTGCATAAGTCTATTGTAATAAAGACTGCTAGACACTGTTAGTCTATGGCTATTAAAATAATCCTAAGGTTTACCTCTCAGACCGCACCAGTCCCTTGGGTGGTTTAATATAAACTGACAATTCTGACAAGAAAAACATTGTCAAAACACCTCTAAAATATACTTGTAACATAGCCTTAACACATTCATTCACACATAGATTACATCACAAGTTAACTAATAATTATTTTGTTGGCAGAAATTCTTTAATGGGAGGTAACTGATAACCAGTGTACAGCACAGTCTAGATGCAATCAAAATCAACCTCCTTTTAATGCTCATTCACAAAGCATATACTCCACTAGAGGCTATATAGGAACATATAGTACCTAAATTAAATAATTATTGGCAATTACTGGTTTTTCTCCTGTATTTATTTGTATTGTGTTATTTTTTTATTTGTCTCATTTCATTTGATGTTCATGCAGAAGGAGTGGGGAGGTTTTGCTAAAATTGATTCTAGCAGTCAATGTTTTTTTTTCTTTCTTTTCAATGTTTTCAATAGAGTCCAAAGCCATTTTTGTCTGGGCCCTAATGAGTTTTATTCACTGAGAAATGAAAGATGACTGTGACGGGAGGATTTCGCTTTTTAATGACCGCTGGATCCTCAGCAACGGCCCAGGTTGAATACACTGGTGTTTGAGGGTTGAGCTCGAAGCCAATGAGCCAAATTACCCTGCCCTGTGTAATATTGTTTGGGTAAAGGTAGTAGAACCAAGCCTGGGAAACACCATGGGGTCCACGTAATGCGGTACTCGATAAGCGTTCTTTAATGTCAGTCTTCCAAAAAGTCGCTTGTGGTACAAAACAAGTGCAGACTGACTTTAACCAGGCCGAGTTCAGCAGCGTACTGTTTGTTCTGTATATAGGCAGGAAAAATGACTGACAACATTTACCAGATAGCAGAGGGCTGCTGCACTCCATGATTACCATTTACACAATCCCCCCCCTTCATTTCTGCACCTTGCGAGCTACATCTGACCAGCCCTTAAAGAGGCATTAAAAAAAAAAAAAAAGAAACAGTACATATTATATTCCGCTGTGGCTGAGAAGAAACCAGAACAGGGAAGATAAATAAAAAGAGGAAATTGAGAACGGCAGTGGCTGGAAAGGTACCCTAGAGGTCATACTTTTGGAGCAGTTCAGACTGCCACTGGCGTTTGCGCTCGGGAAATTCGCAGGGAATTTTGATCTTGCGGAAGTCCTGGATGCACTGCTTCATCTCCTCCTCGACGCTCAGCTTCTCGGTCAGCTTCCTTCGGTTGAGGCCTCCCTCTCGGGGGCTATTGTTGCCCACCAGTGACTGGAAGAGCTCACTGTTGCGCCTCTTGTCTGGCAGCTGCATCCACTGTACGGACCCTTTCTTAGAGGGTCGGCCCAGGGTGAGCGTGCTGGGCTGCCGGGAGACAGACTGCAGGGCCCCGCAAGGTGCAGCGGAGGCCCCGCACACCAAGCCATCCTGAGGCGAGGTGGCTTCAGAGTGTGTCTCAGAGCTGGAGGTGGACAGCTCATTTAGGGAGGCGCCGCTCTCGCTCCCTTTGTCTGGATGCTTCTCATGCCTGTGGTCCTCGCAGTCCTGCTTTGGAGACGTTGTCCTGGTGGCTGGTCCTGCCAAAAGAAGTCACAACACTGGATGTGAAAGTCGGTCCTCTTTTTATTACCAGTAGGGGGCACAGTGATCAAAGTACTCAACAGGGAAAAGAAACAAAAATAAATAAATAAATAAGGTGTCAGCTTAAGTAAAAAGATTTGATAAACATCCGTGCAACTGAGCGAGTACATATACAAAAATGCATACATGAAAATACATCCATTATAACTGCTCATCCAATACAACTTGAAGTTGATCCCTGGAAACACAGGACACAAGGTAGGGGACACCCTGGGATGCACTCAAACATGATCTAGAAACAGGAGGAAATCCCCAAGAACCACAGAACTACTGTATGATGTGTAGTTGAGAGTCAGTAACATAAATAATTGAGACAATGCACCTTAGATGTGATCGTCTCCTAAGTAATTTAATCAATGAAGGGTTATCAATAAATGCGAGGTGTTCAATTGGCTCATGCACTCCCTGTTTCCACATTACTTTTCAGTTTCCCATAGTACTAATAGTCCTACCACAAGTATAAAAGAAGGGAAGTATTTCTGCTACTGTGTACCATAACATTCCTGCATGGCTGCCCTGTCACAAGACCAAGGGCAGTTCACTTCCACGTTTGGCTCCTTGGTGGAAAAATGAGTCACTACCTGCCATCTGTTCTTTTCCTCTGCTTCCAGGTTCCTTCCACTTGAAACATTCCTGAAATTACAGTGATAGATTTGCACTCCCAAGCTACATCTCAGTTATCTACACTATAGTCAGATACTGCTGACATCAGTCTACCTTCTGTCTCCCTGGCATTGCTGTAATATCTATTAATCTCTGTTCTCTAAGCAAACTGCAGTTCATTTTGTTTGCAACCTTGCGATGGCTGTCAAATGACTAACTGATTTTACCCCTAAATTTTGGCAAACGATGTAAGCAGTTAATCAAACACAGATCTGGTGAAATGTTTATGCATTTCATTGGATTTTGATGTATGTGTGAGTGCTTAGATGTTCCTTGAACAGTTTTTAAGTTTTAGTTCATACACAATTCGCAGCAAGCACTTTCTGAGCATGATGCTGTGTGCTGTGTATGGTTTCCTGCTTTATGTTTTGTATGTGTTAGTCCATATATCTTCCTGAGCTGTGTAATTACACTTCCGATTAGCCATTTTGTGGGAGAAGCACAGGGAGCTCAGGCTGAGCATGGTTTTGAGCCAAGCAATATAACACAAATCCATCTTATTAATAGCAGCCTGTCCATCTGTCTCTCTGTCTGCTCTTCGCTGAAGGCAGGTTTTCTTCTTGACTCCATTTCTTTGTCTCAGAATTGCAAACTGACCGAGTAAAAACTGTATTTCTTTAGAAACTTAGAATACATTACATTAAAAATGTATATGTTACAAGGCAACATATCATATATAAAAATGCATCCAGCTGATTTTGCATTTTATTGCAGTCACTGAACAATAATGAGCAGCTTTGAATGGGCCGTACTCTCACGTAATGCACATATGTCAGAATATTTCTCAATATCACTTTAGAATCACAGAGCTTTAAATTCCAAGTTGCATGACCCCCCGTCTTTTAAACAAATAAATCTCTCAAATATAAGCAATGGAAGTTCAAACATAAACATTTCATGTGTTTCCTGTAAATCCTCAAGCAGCCCTGGATTACATTTTTATTTGAAATGCTATTTAAAGAACAGCGCCCACTAGCATAGCATATGGAGGATCATGGGGTGCTTGTCAAGCCACATTACATTGTTCTCTTTGCTTTCTCTAAGGATGAGTAAATAAAAAAATGCTTAGGAATTAAGAAAACAAAATATGTGTAGATGTACAGATGCCATTCGGCATCACCTTCATTCCTGTATAAATGACTTCAGGCAAAAACTAATGGTATCACTTTATTTGAGGGGGGGAAAATAATGCACTATTATGTTTTTAATTAACCACAGACTATGTCTTTGTTGCAAGCAAATTACCAATTATGTACTTAGCATCAAGTCATTTAGCTCAGTGTTAACACAGAATTTAGTTAAGCATTTTATAGTGCACATAATTATTATCTACCTATTAGATATTGGTAATTATCATTCTTATGAACCAGTACGTAGGTTAGCTGAGGTAAAAAAACAAGGTGTGGGAACTTAATCTATCTATTAGTCCTGTTAATTAATCTACTTATGTATTTATCCTATGTGCATTCATCATAATGAATTGTAACATCATTTATTTCAAGCAGTTACCATATTTGATACTATATCTATTAATTCTGACAATTGTGAACTACTGAAGGAACAAATGATGAATAACACAAAAAGTGAAATACTGATCTCATGTTTGTTCAGCATAAAAGAATCGTGACACATCTTTTATGAGTATCTGAAGTAGCTGCTATATTTGTTCATGATTTGTACTTGAGTAGTAATTGATTTACTACAAAGTTTACTACTAAGTTACTAAGGAACCATATTGTAAAGTGTTACTATACTAACTACCCAGCTAACAATGTTAGGCTAAAACATGTCATAGAACTATACTTCTTATATAATCCACAATGAGCAGACACACAATGGACAAACTTGTCCGTACACACCCACCCACAGACACAAAAACACAGTCTGTTGCAAAACCTACTTCCTCCAAAACACTCACAAAAGGCAGTAAGAACTTTTCAGTGCCTTTTCAATTGTACATATAATTTTTATAGTTTAAAGATTGCAATCTGTGGTAGTGAATGAGTGGTAGTGAATTGCCCACACTCGATCTGAGCCATACTCCTCGGAGTGGCGGGCCCTGCAGTTGAAATATTGCTGAGACATGTTCTGCCTTATTCAAAACAGTACATGTCTGGTTATTTTTGTAAGGAGGCATGATAAGGCATTGGTTTAGCTTAAGGTCAAACTCAGTAAATGATGCTTATACCATGCTTGAGTAAATGTGAATAATACATTTAAGTGAGAGTGACATAATGTTTGTATGTATATTTTATTCTGCTTCTTCTTCTTCTTCTTCTTCTTCTTATTATTATTATTATTAGTAGTAGTAGTAGTAGTAACAGTAGTAGTAGCATTATTATTATTACTACTACTACTACTACTACTACTACTACTACTACTACTAATAATAATAATAATAATAATAATAATAATATCATTGTCATTATTATTATTGGCCATAGATATATATGTGCAGACACTGATATAACTGTTATTCTAAAAATGAATATATAATCATCTTTTCCCAAAACAAACTCAATCACACTTGTGAAACAGAATAACATTTGTTCAGGGATTATCTACCAAATAATAACATGCTCTTGGTGGAACTGAAGAGCTTTCCTAAATAAAAGTGTATGTTTTTGTTTTTTACTGAAGGACACATGTGACGTGAGTTTCACAGCTTACAGGGGAAAATGCTAACCCCTTTCTGGTGTATTTGAATTTCATTTTAAACTTTAAAAACCATGCCAAAGGTTTCTCGTTTATGATTGTTGACGTACTGAACTCAACAAATAAAAACATCTGTTTTACATTTCACAATTGTTAAACAATTTTAAAACCCATTCTTGCTTTTTCAACAACACTTCATAACCACAGTTTATCAGTTTAATCTGTCAGAAGCAAATTATTGGGGCAGAGGTGTTGAAAACAAAATAGACATAAATCACTTATAATTATCAGAGCCGTCACTGGGTGGCAATTTGATGGGGCTGCTATGTTTTATCTTAATTCTGAGTTTTTATTCCTACTGTATATCATACAAAACAAACTGTGCATATTATTCTGCACATAGCAGCTATGACAGCATACAAAATAAATTGACTTTTTCCCTGTATTATGTAAGGTTTCCATTTGTTTTCTTGGCACTTTGCTCATCAGCACTTTTTGGCTGTGACTCTCTTTCCACAATGTGATTAATTATTTGTTCAGGGGCCAAAGCTTTCCTTTCACTGTGTAATGTGGCAGTGAAAGGTGGCAAATTTAGATCCGTAGTCCTTATATAAAGGTGACTGGCATCCTGCACTCTAGAGACATTGAAAGGGATTAAACTTGCAGAGGTGGGTAGACCTGGTCCAGAAAATAGCTATATATACCTGTATATATATATATATATATAATTTTAAAGATTTTGTTTCAACCAACCAATCAAACATAAAAAGTCACAGTTCAAATGGTGGGTTGAAACAAAATCTTGGTCTGGATTATTACTTTCCGGACTTGAGCTGTCCATCTGTGGCTATAGATTATAATTGACAAGTACAGGTTTCTTCTGTACTGATAATATTGTGCACAGGCTCTCATCACAACCTCACACATTCACACCCAAAGATACAAACGGTTTTTTCATTCATCAGGAAAACCCCCTGTATCAGGTGCAAATAGCCTTGCATTTGCACCCCTGGCAAAGCTAAAGGGGTGCATTTTGGGTTATCCCTCTGCTGTGAACTGATGTCCACCCATCCATCCATCCATCCATCCATTATCTACTGCTTATCTGAAGTCGGGTCGCGGGGGCAGCAGTATAAGCAGGGACACCCAGACTTCCCTCTCCCCGGGCAATTCGTCCAGCTCCTCTGGGGGAATCCCGAGGCGTTCCCAGGCTAGCCGAGAGACATAGTCCCTCCAGCGTGTCCTGGGTCTTCCCTGGGGCCTCCTCCCAGTGGGACATGCCCGGAACACCTCACCAGGGAGGTGTCCAGGAGGCATCCTAAGCAGATGCCCAAGGCACCTCATCTGGAGCCAGATGAGGTGGATGAACTGATGTCTTCACATAAATTAGGTAAAATTTCAGACTTAGGCACTCCAAGGAAGGTGTTCCTACCTTTGGCCATTAGACTATGGCAAGATGGGACAGCCAACTGTCCAAATGGACCAAAACCACTTAGGCACAGAACATTCACAGAACATCACTTGTTCACTGTGCAATTCCCACTATGTGGTACTATTTCAGAGCCATTATGTTACATTACAGAATTCCATGCTTTACTTTCCCTGACATTCCTTGAAC